GCCGGCAGCTACATATATTCATCGATCAGTCACAGATCTAGTGACATCTTCGTTGATCAGTCACCTCCACCTACATCCCACACTAGCTCGTGGCCGGGGTAGAGCCGGCAGCTACATATATTCATCGATCAGTCACAGGTCTAGCGGATTCTTCATCCATAGTTCATCTTCTTGGATCAGGCTTAAGAAAAAAAGATGTTTGTTTCCGCTAACGAGCTGAAAAAAATTGGACACGGTAGGCAGGCAACTTTTTTTTATCAATTTTTTTTGTATTCTAACAATACTTGTTTTATACTTATAACAGCCCATATAATGACTTCAAAGTCAAATCAATGCATTCACCAATCGATATCACGTTGAGATTTTTTTTATTAAAAAAAAAATTAAATTCTTTTTTTGTTGTTGATCACAATAAAAAGTTTCGACACGGCAGTTTAAAATGGACTCGGTCGGGTTAGCGGAAACAAACGTCTTTTTTTTTAGGCCTCAGTCACCGCCTCCACCTACATCTCTCGCGAAGGCGTGGTCGGGGTAGAGTCGGCAGAAGCGTCCGAGGGTCCAGATCGGGAACACGTTGCGATAACTCGCGTAGTTGATCCCGCACGACCGATTAAACACACCAACAACGTCGTCCGCCGGCCAGTCCCCCGACGGAAGCTGGGAGCGGACGAGGAATCCCACGCCACGTTCGATCGCGCGCGCGTCCGGCCACCGCGCCGCCATGAGCCCGAGCAGCGCCCAGCACGTTTGCGCCACCTGGGGGCGGGCGGCGGCGACGTATCGCCGCTGCTCGCAGCTTTCGAACGCCTCGCCCCAGCCTCCGTCCGCGCGCTGCCGCGAGACGAGGAACTCGCATCCCGCGGCGACCGCGGCGTCGTCATGGCAACGGCCTGCGCTTGTGAGCGCCTCCAGAGCAAACCAGGTCGCGTACGTGAAGCAGACAGCCCAGGCTCCCTCCCAGGATCCGTCCGCGCGCTGCCGCCCGCGCACGTACCCCAGCGCCCCCTGGATGAACGCGTCGACGTCGGCGGGGCGGTGCGCAGGGAAGGCGCGCCGGAAACAAGAGAGCGCCGTCGCGGCCGCCGACGTGCACTCGACGTGCGGGTGATCGATCATAATGTCGCCGAAAACCTCCGACGGGTTCAGCCACTCGAGGGCGCCACTGCCGCGCGTCGTCTCGTAGGTGGCGACACCACCGCCGGGGTTCGCGAACGACAGCAGCGAGTCGGCGGCGGCGCGGAGGCGGTCGTCGTCGACGACGGGAGCGAGGTCGTCGCCGCGGCAATGCTCGCGAAGTTCGAGGAGCGCGCGGAGGGCCTCGGCCGTGCAGTCCGACACGATCCAGCCGCAGTCACGCGTGCTGAACGGGAAGCCACCTAGTGGCGGATGTCGGTAATACTTTTCGCCATCCGGGAGAGCGTCTCGCACCTGCGCACGGCGGAGAGTTCGTTAACATCGTGATCGTCTCAATTAGATGGTAATTAGTTAATTACATAACGTCTCGATTACGTAAAAAAATGTACTTAGTTGATTAATTAAATAATGTAAAAAATGGGTAAAATTCATTATATGGTAGAAGTCGATGTTAACGGAGCAATTGTAAATAAATTTGGAAAAACTGCAAATTAGATCGAAATGTTTTTTTTAAATATCATGTTAAACTTTGATTATTATTACTTTTTATATAACTTTAATTATTATTTTTATCAGTATACATTTTATCATTACTTATAATATTATAATAATTAATTAATAATTAATTCGCACCTGCATGCGTTCGATGAAGGAGCGAGCGCGCCGCAGCGACGGCCGCAGCGACGGCGCCTCCGCCGCGCCCGCCTCACAGAGGGCGCTAGCTGCAAACGCCGTGTCCGCCTCACAGAGGGCGCTAGCTGCAAACGCCGTGTCCCACAGCTGCGAGCCGTTAGTTCCCGTCATCTTCATGCCGTCGACTCCCATCCACAGGTAGTCGTCAACGCGAGACACGTGACGACGGAACGCCGCCGAGTCCGCGCCGTCCACGCTCCACCTGGCGGCGAGGGAACGAACCGCATTTGGCGATCGTTGTGGTTACGCGAGGTTACGCACGTGGAAAACACGCTGGACAGCATTTACGGGGGGGACTATTACCAATAAGGCCATAATAAAAATATTGTTTGTTTGCCCTCACCCGACCGACCTGCCAAAAAAGAGCCAAAAAAAATTTATTGATCTTTCCCACTTTTTGTTTTTTTTTACAAATTGTATCACTGTACATTATACAAATCTGTAGGCAATACATTATATGTACCAAGCAAAACAAACATTCAACATGAAAGGTATCTCCACACAAGCACACCCGAGCATGTAGACACCACGCTAAATTTGTAAAAAAAAAACCTCAAAAAAAGAAGCCTACCTACCTACCCAAACTTTTCAGCCTGGGTCAGGTGAGGGCACACAAAGATTTTTTTAATTGTGGCCTAGTAGGCAAAAAAGAGTATATAAACATTGAGACTTAAAAGTAAAAGCCGGTAGTACATACAATTCGTGTTTATCTACCGTCGTTTTATTATTGAAACGATTCAAGTACCCGTGCACGCCATGGTCACTTGACAGTCGATCATCACTGTATACGACCCTCAATTACCCTGCTTCGTTGCATGAATTATTCGATCAAACCGTAAATGTTTGTTCACAGCGCGACGAGTCATGGGCGCACGTGCAAGCCTCACCTGACAAGCATGTTCAAGACTTTTGATATCGGTCCAATACTGATGTAATTCGTGTACTGGTCTTCAGCACAAATATGCTGGTAGAGCTCTGACAGCGCCATCTAGTGACAGAGAAAACGAAATAGTTGAATGATTCATCGCGACTGACCCAAGCATAGTAAAGTTTCAAAACGATCATTTCTCAAATAAACCGAAACACAAATGTAGAAAAATTGGTCCTGCCTATTTGCAGACTTTTCACTGATTACCCTGACAAAACTATCAACTACAAATTTGTGCGCTCTAAACAGACGAAAAAAAATTCACGGCGAAGTCTACAACATCGCACTCTCCAATACCCTCCAGTCGCGCCGTTTATCCTTTTTCTCTCGAAGTCGCCCTTTCAGACGAGACATGATTCTCAATGTGAGACGCACAGGACTGTAGGCAGGGTTTTTGTACGGGAGGGTGTGATCCAACGAGTATACGGACCTAACGAGGGTAATATGCCCCACCAGAAAATTTTGAAATAGGTTGTCTGAGACTGCATTTCGCGCATTACGAAGGCAGTATGATATGAAAACAGGCAGCCAAAAGCGAACCTCAAAACGTGGGCATTTCTCACATTTTTGAACTTCAAAATGGATTTTTTGGCAAACAGACTATACTTTATGTAACATGTATTTTACAGTTTTAGAGATTAACTAGAAAGGGCAGTTGTCGCCAACTACATGTATACCCCGTGATCTAGTATGAATGAAATATCTTTGAAGTCATCTGCCTGAGATGTGCAAGTATGTTAAAATTGGTTGCCTTAGGGGTTTTGGTACGTGACACACATTCTCCCCAAGATGTATAAGTATACCAAGTTTGGTAGCGCTAGGTCAATTAGGGGCCCGAGTTAGAGAGCGGAAGGGAAATATGATCAAGGTCAAGTTAAAGGTCAAATAAAGGTCGCAGTGACCTGGTTTTGGTATGCTGCGCACCTTCTCCCCAAGATGTGTCAGTATACCAAGTTTGGTAGCGCTAGGTCAATTAGGGGTCGAGTTATAGAGCGAAAGGGAAATTGTCTGCGGCGGCGGCGGCGGCTGGGGAGACATGAAACCATAGTATCCCCGCCAACTTTGTCGCGGGGGATACAACAATCTCAATATCACTATTTAAAAAAAAAAAATTATCAATTCACTTTGTCCACAAAAAAGTGGACCGCCGCAGCCTGTGGGGGGTGCGGGCGCACCCGTCGCACCCCCCTCCCCCTACGGGCCTGACGCCTCACCTTTCGTATCGTGGTGTTGTGGTATGCCTCATACATGTCGATGAGAACATAGCTGCAATCCAGCAGACGGGTGTGCGGAGTGTAGAGGTCACTAGGCGCGCAGTTGTTTCTCTGACTCGGCCAGTCGATGCCTGCATCGCAAATATAACTCGTCATTTATTCCTACATGCTGCGACAAATCAATCAATCAATAAATAAATAAATAAATGTTTCAATCAATCATTAATCATCGATCATGTTTAATCATAAATCAATCAATCAATCGAATCAACCGATCGAAACAATCAATCGAATGTTTGATCAATCATCAATTATCAATCATCAAGCATGTTTCAATGAATGTTTCATTTAATCGTGCGACAGACACTTCTAACTAACCTCGGGATCGATAGAAATCTACTTCGCTTTCTGAGGTAAGTGCATCGAGTTAAAACTTATACGATAACACCCAGCGGCATTTTAACTCTGCTAAGAAATGCTTCTCAATTCTGCTGAGAGAATGCCACAGGGACGTACTGCAGTCACCCAATCGTTACGAATTACACTAATGCACGTAATACGATTATGCAATTACTCATGGGATTACCATCTATAAACAAGTGGTGCATTACGCAATACCCACTGTAACGCTTTATAGATACAATCGAAATATAGAATGTGTCGTATATTTCAAAGAGCGATTAAGCTTTCGAGACGGTGTATGCCTCTCGACAGGCTTCTGTATATATCCTAGTGATTATACAACACGCACGCACGCACGCACCACGCACGCACGCACGCACGCCGCACGCTCGCACGCACGCACGCCCGCACGCCGCCGCACGCACGCACGGCCCGCACGCACGCACGCACGCACGCCGCCCGCACGCACGCACGCACGCCCGCCATGCGACGCACGCACGCACGCACGCGCACGCGCGCCGCCCGCCACGCACGCACGCACGCACGCACGCCGCCCGAATGCACGCACGCACGCCGCACGCACGCACGCACCCGCCACACACACCATATATATGTAGATATATATACAAATGACATATGGAGGCATGGAGCATAGAGCACTTACTTTCGTACGGTTCGTGTACAGTTCCTTTCTAAGTGCTCGGATGAGCTCCGTCTCTGGATGCTGTATGCGCGCCCCATAACAGTAGGCCATCGGAAGGTAGACCTGCATATAATACGCAGAACACGCAAAACATGCATGAACAGTGCAGTTTCATTTATCTCTGCTATACGCTACATCTACTATATACTCTATCTTACTAACCTATACATACTATATACTACTATATACTATATACTATATATACTATTCTATATACACTATTATATACTACTATATACTATATACTACTATCTACTATACTACTACTATAAACTATATACTTCTATCTACTATACACTATTATCTACTATACGCTACAATCTACTATATACTACATCTACTATATTACTATATACTACTATCTACTATACACTACTATCTAATATATACTACACTCTATTATATACTACTATATACTACGTATATACTACTATCTACTATACACTACTATCTTATATACTACTATATACTATATACTATATACTATACACTACTATCTACTATATACTACTCTCTACTATACACTACTATCTTATATACTACTATATACTATATACTACTACTACTATACACTACTATATACTATACACTACTATCTAGCTATATACTGCTACACTACTATCTACTATATCTACTATCTACTATACACTACTACTAATATATACTACTATATATACTACTATCTACTTATATTATTATCTACTTATACTACTATCTACTATATATACTTCTACTATATCACTACTATCCTTATATTATAGGCTACGTATATATACTACTATCTACTATATACTACTATCTACTATATAGTACTATCTACTATACACTACACTCAGACTCTACTATATATACTATACTATCTACTATATACATATATTAAATGGGAGTGTTCACGTGTTCGCGATAGCTCCTGCTCACGACAACCCCCACCTGTCTGCAATGGCACCATAGTTTCGACGGATGTACGGGCAGCCATGTCGGTGCAAGCCACATCTCTGGCAGCAGAGAGTGCATCCCTTCCCAGTGATACACGTTTAGCAGACACAGCCAGAACTTTCCCCACGACGGAATAGCTATACGTGCGAAAAACATACACAATAATGTACAAAACACATAACACATGTCAATATATATACATACGCATACACAGTACACACTATATATATATATAAACCAAAAACTGATACATGTATGTTACAGATTCAATTCAATGTAATGTTAAATAGTAGTATATGTATACGGATTATATAAATGAAGTTGAATAACGAATTAATGAACGGAAGATCCACGCGCAAGCCAACACATGAAGAAAACGAAATACAAGACAACTCTTCAAAACAATCCTTTCGAAAGATATACGGGAAATTCCAGCGTAACTTGATAATTATATCAGGAGTTTATCAATATATTGATAGATCAATTATATCAATCTCAAATATCTCGTCACAAAAGATTTCCCACGCGAAATGAAAGTGTCAATGACACTGTAGCTCACCACAAAAAAGGACACAAATGAGTAAGTAAGAAGAAGTCAGTTTTAATTGAGCAACCATCGACATACATTATAGAAACGATTGCCATCTGTATATCGCAATAATAATTTATAAACCAAAATGAATCACAATTTCTGACCGTAGATGGCACTATACCCGCTTTGTAGCGATGGCGCTTGAAATAAATAGGTTATGCTGCGTTCCGACATGTTTTGTAAATCTTTACTCTAATATAGACGTTTTATCGGTAGAGTGGAGAGGAAATGCCAATTTTGCATTAACGATATTGTCAATGAAATCTTGTAAAACGAACCAGACGAGTGTGACACCACAGACTGTTTGTGTTTATATAATATGCTATATAATTGCCAAACCCTACCTAATTTGCATAACCCCTAGCTCTTATTCATTCACATACCAAAAATGAACAAAATCCGTTGAACCTGAACTGACTAATGGCAATTCCCATTTTTGCCAAAAAATTGCCGTGGCTCGAAAGTACGTCAACTGGCATGCTTCAAAATAGGACGTTCCATATGGGAGCATAGCAGTAACAACTATACCCAATTTCAAACATGTGGGTCAAACGGTTCCTGAGTTATCGTTGACCGAAACCAAATGTTGACGGACGGACGGACAGATGGACGGACGGACGGACATACGACGGACGACGACCCATGGCAATAGCTCAACTTGACGATGTCAAGGTGAGCTAAAAATCAGGACTCTACACCTCAACTAAATAAATACCGTCACGCCCTACAAGTACCTGTAGCGCCACCTAGCGTGTGGCGGAGCTCACGGGCGCGGACGAGGTCCGGGTCGCCCGCGGCAACCCCGAGCAGACGCATCGCGATGTAGTTCATCGTGCATCCGAACACGGTGGGTGGCCCGGCGACGTGCAGCCCCCATCCGCCGTCGGGACACTGCACCGAGCGCAAATACCTATATAGTGACGTCCCGATGATCGATTATAATCGAAAGTCAGTCGTCTGCGGCAATCAACTAAGCCAGCGGTTCTTAACCTGGGGGTCGTGACCCCATGGAGGTCGTTTGGGGTTTTTCCGGGGGTCATGAAGGTGTCATAAATGAAACAAATCCATTTAAATTCTAGATAAATCGGGCTGGTTTTTTGAAAATGTTTGTTTCGGGGTCACGGTACTGACCAATTCAGACTGTCTGAAATGGCCAAAAAGGTTAAGAACCACTGGACTAAGCGCACGATTATGAAAATAAATAATCGATTATCAAAAAAAATTGTATTATAAAAAATACTGTATTATATGATATAGGATGGTATTCAATATCTGGTAGCCGCGATCAATAACATTCACCCGATTATCTTCGATCATCGATCGGTTGGATGCAATCGATGATCGATGACGAAATTCCAAACGATTCTAATCACCACAAATATTTAAGTGAGATCGGAAAGTCCAGCTGTGCTACGTAGGTCACAGAAATAGGGGGTATAAAATGGCCGAGGCACGCTTAGAAAAGTACATGATTAATGTAAACACTCGTGCATTTTTAGTTTTTGCAAAACATCCCAAACGACCACAATCATATTTGTAAATGTTTAAATGTAAACAGAAACGCACCTGTGAATTGAAGTACGATGTTAGTGAAGAGAATTATAGATCAAAAACCTAGAATAGTCCTATCCTACCCATGTTATAAAAGGTCTGTTTATACCCCCTCTTATCTGATCTCAATATGGCGGCGGGGACTTTCCGATTTGGCTTATACCGTAGGATCTCCTTCCTCTGTGGCTCGGCGATGCATGCCGCGCCCGTAAAATGGCAGACGATGATGAGAACTGGCAGGAGAAACAGCGGACCTCCGTAATCCCCCGCCCAGTGGCCGTCCTCCGCTTGAATCGAGCAGTAGAACTCCGCGGCTCGGCGCGCGGCATCAGCGGCGGTCGTCGCCGGAGTCCGGTCGCTGTCGGTGGCGACGCCTAGCGAGTGGCGTTCGAGCGGAGTCTGCGCGCGGTCGGGTTTGTTGTCGTCGTCGTGGTAACGCCACGTCTGGCGGCCGTCGACGCACGTGAGGCGCCAGCGCGAGAGGTCGGTCGCCGGGGGGGTCACGCGCGGGATACCGCGGTTTCGGCGCATCGTGTTCTCGTAGCGATGCATGTTTTCGATTTGAAGTTGTTTGTTGCAGTTCCTTTCTTCTGTTTCTTCTTTATTATGATTCTTCTTCTTTGTTTGTTACCTTCTTCAAGCTGATCCTCTGCTGCTTCTTCTTCTTCTACTCCTCCTTCGCCCCTTTTTTGTATTCTTCTCCTTCTTCTTCTTCTTCTTCTTCTTCTTCTTCTTTTACCGTTTGACGTCTCCTAGTCCTTTAGTTAGTGGACAGGAGCCCTCTGGGACATCCTCAACAAACACTCACCAGTATGTGGCAATCTGCTAGGTTATATATGGCACATTCATGATTCATTCAAAACTAGTCAGACTAGATGTATCCTGCAGACATGTCTATATGTGAGTTCAATGCTGCCGTCAGACCTTGGTGCAAATCATAAGTTACGTGCATTGCACTGTTTGCAGAGAGTATGCCCTAGGTAATATTATAAGTGCCGCAACTTGCCACGGCCTGCGCTAAATCCTTCCCATACCGGTAAGAACCAGCAGGATACCGGTAATTCAGCTGTCACGTGAAGGCGTACCACAACAGCTGATCACAACACGCCAGCCGTCAGGCAACAGTAAACAAACGCGCCGAGATAGCGAAGTCGTATCAGCGAAGGCACTTGTACTACAAACATGCTTATTTTGGTAACTACGGTTACTAATTTATTACGACTGAAGTACTAAGTAGAGATAGCAAAGGGCCACATTGAGTGATTAAGCTAAGGGAGGTAATTTACTAATTACACAAGTAAACACCGCCACAAGCAAAAAATCACTGATCTCTATAATATAATCTGGATAGGGCATTGGCCTATGACAGTGACGCCAGAGCGCCATCTTCCAACCACTCTGTAAAGCTGAATCTGCCGGTCTGTGCCCCACAACATTTCAAATGAAAAATAAGAAAACGCGACTTATTCTATTATTCAAATTAGCATGAAAAAAAACTTTGATCCATACTTAAGAGATTATATAAATATGGATATGTATATAGATACATGTATGGAGCTAAGGGAACGAGAAATACACGAAAAATAATTTTTACGTGAATTTTTACGTGACGTCACGAGTCACGTGCTAGCTAGTCGGAGCCTATCTACCAATATAATATTTTCTTATGTTACCATCGTATGAAAACAAACCTTTGATGATTGAACATGATGAAAATGATGAAACATGAAAGATTATGTTATATATATATATTTATAAGGCATATAGGCAAATATAGCATATAGGTATAGCATATAGCATGCATAGGCCTACATATAATACTAATTACTATATTTAATAATTAATATAGCATATTGCTATAGCCAACCAGGCTGTGTGAATAACGTCAATATACTAGTACTACTAGTAGTAGTACTACTACGGTAGTAATACTACTTACTACTACTAGGCTATTCTATATATATATATGAATCGATAGATGAAAGATTAGATGATAGATAAAACGTTATCTGGGACAGAATTATTCGTCTAAGGTAAATATAGCACATGTCGGTTCAAGGATAGAGAACATTATCCCAATAAACCCAATGTCATTTACATCAATATAAATATAATATTATATCAATATAATAGATTAGGGTTATGGTTAGGGTTAGGGTTAGGGTTAGAATTAGGGTTAGAATTAGGGTTAGGGTTAGGGTTACGCACATTGGTTTTATTTGTAAGGGTTGGATCCTTACACGGTCGGTTCTCCTGGCCGTATGGTAGAATGAAGCACCCCGAGTCGATCCCATGCGGTCCTTATATACGCTGGCAGTCGTGGCCTTGCCTGGCTTGCCGGGAATCCTAGGTTGTAGGCTGAGTGTGAATCCTTGCCGGGTTGGAGAAGCGCCGCCAGTGTCAATGACAGTATCAACCCAAACGGGGGATACCCGAACTAGCCGCACGGGAAAGGACCCATCAACTCCCGGGGGAAGTCCAACAACTCGCAGGGGGAGTTCCAAACAACTCCGCAGGGAAGTTCCAAACAACTCCGCAGGGGAGTCTCACGCCACTCCGCGGGGAGTCTCAGCAAACTTCGGGAGGGGAGTCTCCACAAACCCGGGGGGGGTTACCACAAACTCCGCGGGGAGTTACCACAAACGCGCGGGGCGGAGTTACCACAACGTCCGCGGGGGAGTCTCCACAAACTCCGCGGGGGGAGTTACCACAAACTCCGCGGGGGAGTTACCACAAACTCCGCGGCGGGGGCAGTCTCACAAACTCCGCGGGGGGAGTTTACCACCAACTCCTTGATTGAACCATCACGGTGGTTGTGTACGAAAGAGGAAGACATAGAATCGACAACGGAGATGAATTACTTTATGCATCGATCATTACGACAAACGCGTTTAATCAAAGAAGAACAGATTATAAACACTGTACATAGGTGCGCGATACGGCTCTATAAATATAGGTGGTACTCATGACACAACTTAGAACGTGACACAGTAAGGAGCCGCGCATCAGGCACGGCGATCGAGGATGAGTCGCGATGAAACCAAGCAAAAATCGCGAAGTCGTGACGGGAATCCATCGAAATCTTAACTCAAGTACGCGATATTACTCCGCCAAAAGCCTATAGCTAAAGTCGCGAGTGTCGCAGCTGAATCAGTTTTTGAAACTCGTTAAGACACTAGGGACTTGTAGTGCGTAGGCAATGGTTGCTACAACGCCCCCGTAGATGTGGAATGCTCCGTTGCGTCTGCGGAACGAATCATCAGTAGCCTGGGTTGCCCCTCAGCCAATCTAGCCCCCTCCTGCGTGGAGGTCGACGATGGGAGAGCCAGTCTACAGTGAGTTATCACACGCACCACCCAAAATATTCAATGTTATGGTGTACTAATTTGTTAGCTACATTGCAATTTTACATCATGAGCAACAATACACTTTTTACCAAGTACCATAGCTCCAAGAAACGGTCTGCTAGGTTTAGAAGTAGACAATATTATATATTATGTTATTATACTATAATATATATACATATATAACAATATTAATTATATAATATATATATTATACATGTCCTTGGTCCCGC